CCAATCATACAGAGCGCTCACTCAACAGTTGTATCTGCTGAACGCGGCCATTAAGAAATCGTTGAGCGCTCACTCAACAGTTGTGTCTGCTAAACGCGGCCACTGTGTCGTCACTGTACGACTTATCCCGGCATTATTTTGTGCATAAAAGCTAATAAAAAGAATTACAAGCGCAAAAACTATATTTAACCGTGTCGGTAAAAAGATGGCTGAGGGATCCTCTTAATACCGCGAGTGAATTTAAAAAGCCCGGGACTAGAGACGGTCTCGGGGTACACAAATCCCCCCCACAGTTAGCCATCTTCAATGCCCCACGTCGATGCTTCTATTCGTGACACATATGCCGTCTCTGTGTGTGTGTATACGCACGCGCGTACACATATATTTATCAATGAGATTCTATGCCACGTTGGCGGTTTAGGCGCTGCGCTCTACTCTTGCTAGACCCGTTCGCGAAGAGGCGTTGTTCCGTCGATCTACCGCGACGATACCGGGCGAAATCGTCGAGAATGCGAGGCCGCCGAACGTGACGAGGTGCTGCGGGTGCGTCAACGCGAGGCTTCGGCAATTCGAGCCGCGCTGCAGGGTGGGGCGCGAGTAAAAGTGAACAAGGACCGCCGTGGCTCTCCTCGCCCACGGGCCTCGCCGTCAATCGGCGATGATCGTCGAGCGCTGACCGGTGTGCGTCGACCACGAAGACCCACGTCGCTAGTGCGCCACGTTCGAGCTGCGGCGAGCGGCGGTTGTGCCCGATCGCAGAGTATTCCTATGTTAGACAGCGATGTCGTCGGACATGAACCTGTTTGACTTCCTGGACGACACGTTTCTCAAGGGGGACGTGAAGGATGAGCTGTTCGTCGACCACAACTACGGCGACGTCATCACAGTGAGTCAACGGAGCCTCCCGGCTTCCCCCGCGGCGTCCCATCTGCGCGCCGTCGACGCGTGCCGCTTGGGCTGCCTCGTGGCTACCAGCGTGCTTCGGTCCTCGCGGGTCTGACACACTTCTCGAGGAGGAGAAGCGCTCGTCCAGCTCGGGAGACTTGCCGAATTGATCGGCTGTTGAATATTGCATTGTCCGGAGGAAACTTGCGGCGTATTGAACTCTGTTTAATTACACGCGATAGAGCGAGTGGCAACAGAATAACGTACTGTACGTTACAATGAAGACGCAGTCGCGCTATTACTTGGCAAGGTTTCAATAGACACGAGATGCTTGGTGAAGCTTTTGGGTAGCTCGTGCCATTCGTGGAATTCGAAAAGTCAGTAATTTGTTTGGTCTTGCAACGCCAAGCAGTTATCATACTCCATATGGCGGGGAACAGCGAGTTGCTTTCTGACCAGGGGATCAGTTCTGTATTTCAAGTATTCCATAAATGACGTACCGTACGTTACAATAAAGGCACAGTCGCGCCATTACTTGGCAAGGTTTTGTTAAGCCTTGTGCCCGCGATCCAAGAACTGTGTCCAAGTTCTGGTTCCAAGAAATGCGTAGCCGATCAACTTGCAGCTTTTCCATAAAAGACGCAGGTTGATTGGTTGCACATTTCCCGGAACTAGAACCTGGACACAGTTCTTGAATCGTGGACACGAGGCTTTAGACTCGAGATGTTCGGTGAAAAGCTTTTGTGTAGCTCGTGCCACTTGTGGAGTTCGAAAAGGCAGCGATTCGTTTGGTCTAGCGACGCCGAGCAGTTTTCACGGGATACTCCATATGGCGGGGGAACAGCGAGTTATTGCTTTCTGACCAGGGGGTCAGTTCTGTATCTCAGGTCCATAAGTGGCAAGAGCTACACGCGAAAGCTCTACCAAACATCTCGAGCCTAATAAGACTTTGCCAAGTAATAGTGCGACTTTATTGTAACGTGTTCGTTATTCTGTGTTTGCCAAGTAATACTGCGTCTTTATTGTAACGTGTTCGTTATTCTGTGTTTCCTATCGCTCTATTGTATGTTTTAAGTAGAGTTCAATACGCCGCAAACTCTGTATCTTGCACAGTGAAGATGCTAAACGTGAGCGGCTTTGTCTCTTGAAGAGCCTAAGCTGCGTGCTTTTAGCATTTTCCCTGTAGCGTGGGACACAGAATTGACCGCCAAGTGCACAGTTTGTAACAGCGCGTTTTGCTCGATCGAACGACACGCGGTGTTGAGGCGAGACGTTGCGAACTAATGTTTAACTAATATTCAGGTGTTATATGTCCGATAGTAACGGCGCGCAGCACAGGGTGGGAAAAGACGGTACATGGATTCGCTTAGTAATTTAACGGCCACCACCTAAATGGCGTTTAGGTTTCAATTTGATTTATATCTGAAAAAGGACCGAGTTAAAAAAAGAATTAATTGTTGCTAATATTTAACGTTGCGCGACTCTCCTCGAGGTCGAACCGGAAATTATCAACGGTGAATCGTCGACGAGTTGCGTCACGTTTCGTCCGAATTGAACGACGCTAAGGATCTTGGCCTCCCGTCGACACACAGAAAAGAGTCTCGTGACGATATTTCGTCACATTCCACTTCTTTTCTAGTCCGTTCGGGTTTCTTGCGATAACTGAGGGACCAACTGCGAATATGAGGCCCACTTTTAACGAGGCTAAAGCAGAGCGCGTATACATAAATGCACATAAATATAGAGGCACGTGAGACTGACTTGAAATAAGTTCCAATGCAAGCTTGTCGGGTAAATCAATTGTAGCGAGCCCGTCCGAGAAACAAGTACTACCGTATGCGACGACTGAGTTACTTCAACCGGCCATATGATCGGTGATTATTGCAACTGCTCGCTTCTTGCAATTTAACGATCTTTGCAGCGACAACTCTTCGTTATCCGAAGCCGCGTACGAGGGCTAAACCGCTGAGGACATTGCGTTGTACAGACTTGCGGCGTTACTGGGCATTGTTTGGGTACTGGGTTTGGGCGAGGGGGAAAACCGCCGACCAAAAACTTGTACACCAATGTCCACCAATGCCCAGTGGATATTACTTTATCTTATGATTTTGTTTTATCTTATTATGTCTTTATAGTGTCCCAGCCAGGCCTAATGCCCAAACCAATGCCCAAAAAATGCCTAACAATTCCACAAATCTCTACACCACAATGCCCTCAGCGGTTCTCCCCTCGGGTTTGGGCATTAGGCCTTGCTGGTGCATTACAAAGATAAAATGAGATAAAACAAAGATAAGACAAAGCATTGGGCTTCAGTAAGCATTGGCGTACGTGATTTTGGTCAGCGGTTTACCCCTCGGCTACGTATGTTTCTCTTAGAGTTTGTACTTTTTTACCCGAACTGGCACTAGTTCGGAGTTTATCTTTCTCTTTTCAACGTAGAGAGAAGAAGAGATACATTAAAAAAAAACCATTGTATGTGAAATTTTAATTCATCTTAACATATGGCACAGAGAGCGCCATGTGCTCTTGTGCGTGCGGTGATGGACAGAATGGTTGCGACGCTTCTTAAAATGAGTTTCGGGACGCGCATTTAGATTCAGGTTTACACAGTTGAGAGATTTGTATTAAATGGATATCACATGTGTTAATTTAACATAATATGGATGCGTTAAATGATGACACTAATACTCTGTTAATATTTTAACACAAAATAAATGCAAATCTCAAAATAATTTGAAATAAATTTTATGTAAAATTAACATACTTTTAATGACAAAGTGAATTTTAAACAATGCAACTTTTACATTTTACAGATGTAATAAGTCAAATGACGGTTCGAAATCACTGTCACTTATGCTATACAGAATAGAATCGACATTTTATTTTGTAAATTTTAACAGTTAAATTTTGTTACTGATAATATCGAACGTATGCATTGTGTCAGATTAAAAATAAGTACACATTGTGTTGTTTTAACATTTCTCTTCAGTTAAGTATTTTAATAATTTTACATTTGAGGTCAATTAACACAAGAGCAATATGTTAAATTAACACACGAATGCGTTAAACATTTAACACAAAAATTTTTACCGGCATTTTTCTTAACAGGAAACCACAAATTTTCCAACTGTGTACGTTCCGAAACATTTTCTCTGATTGTGAGGAAAATCTCACTCGAGAATAGATCGGAAACGCTCGAAGTGCTTTCGGAATGGCCATCGAGTGGGAATGTTCCTCGGAGAAGAAGATTTTGGAACGTATTCCTGCGGCTCGATCGTGAGTCATTTTCTCCAAAGTGAAATTTTATTGACCAATATTGAATTCGTCAATGAAATTTGTCACTTTTCACGCCGGAGGAAAAGATTCATGCTCGAACCCCAGAATCTAAACGCACGTTCCTAAACGCATTAAAAAAAAGTGTCGCGACCATTCTGTCCGTCACTGTACAGACGCTAAGAGTGGAATTTATCGATTTCCTTACATTTACAGTTGCTTACCAATTTTTATCCCAATGGCCGCGTTCAGCAGAAAGAGCCGCTTTGCGACTGTTGTAAAAATCCGGAATCCACTCGGGCGTGCGCTCTCAATTATGGCAGAATCTAAGAGCACACTCCAGTGAAATTTACAAATACAACTGTTGCAAAGCAGCTCATTCTGCCCAACGCAGCCAACGTCACACTCGAGCTGCGCTTTGAGTGAGCTATAATTTTTAAATGAGAATTTATTTGCAACTTTATACCGCGTATATCATAAATATACATTTCCAGAGAAAATATGTATATACTTTGCTCCTGCGCGTGTTCTCCAAGGGCTTCCTCATATTCCAGAGAATCACTGAAAATCATGAGTAAAATTCCGTCAGGAACCTCGGTCGCTTCGCGCCGTCGCGAGTCTATCGGCCAAAATCGCTCGGAGGACGATAATAAAATAACGTTAATACGAAACGCACCTTGAAAAGCTGGGTCTCTCGCCGAGAATGATTCTAGGGATAAATGCACGCATGTACGGGCGGTACATCTTTCCGAGAGGTAGCTTCTCCAGTGGCGTGATTTTAACATATGGTGCGCCGACTATCCACGTGGTCTCGCGATTAACCTCAGTCCCGAGTCGCCGGGACGAGTCTCGCGCGCTCGTATCGTCCGATTACGCCCGGCCGGACGATTAGAATTAGACAAACGATTTAAAACGCGCTCTCTTTGTTTACTACGCGCGATAATTACGATTAAATAGCGATACACCGTCGTGTAAAACCACGTGGCGGACATGCGCCATTCGCGTTCAGAGCGCGTAGATTTCAACGCCGGCGTAGAAAAATACGTGGCTCGTCCGCTCGAATAATTTTGGGGCGGTTTTTTTTCTTTCTTGCTTCAGTGGATACGCGCGGTTTGCTTGATCGGAAAAGAATCTCGGTCTCTTTTCGCGTCTCGCTCGGACCAGAAACCGAGAAGCCGGACTTGACGCGGCGAATGACCTTTGAACGTACCGTTATGTTACGGAATTCTCCGTAACCGCACGTCTTGACTCTCCACCTCGGCGCACACGCCGGCATAAATTTATATTACAGTCCCTGCCTCTTTTTCCTACGATTATTTATTATCGTTGTTGACCGTGCACTGAGAAAAAAATGCTCGATTAAATTGCACATCCGTTTCTCGATCGAATCGGCAACTGCATTTCATTGAATGAATTTTATCGGATAGATATGTGATTTAATCGGAAAAATTAACCATCGGAAACCCTATTTAATTGGTTTCTGTTTTTTAATTACTGTAATACTTTAATTAAAATACTTTAATTACGTAATTACTGGCGCCAAGTGCATTTTACATGCCAATAATATTTTTATTGTCCACCTCGGTTAGTTCACAGAATTAAAACGGGGCCGCCAATATTCTGAATTCTCTTTTATCGATAAAAGAGTCCGCGAAAGATCTCTTCGGCCATTAAGAATCCTTCGAAACCAATTTTAATGGCAGTTTCGGTGCACGGGCCTACGTGTCTTTAGACAAAGACGAGCGCCAAAGTTCTCGTTCAGCTGTGAAACCAAGTGCGCAGCGTTCGATCGGCAAAAATTTGTGAATTCAATGGATTTCGATGGCTACCGGTGTGTGTTTCACACCCCCACGCGAGTAACGCGGGGTTGATAATATCGAGAACGAGGTGACGAAATCGTTCGCGTTAAGTTATTATCGGATAGCAAATTTATTGCGCGTCGCGGCTCGATAAGAGGATGAGCATTTTGTCTTTCTAAAAAGAAACGTGCTCCTCTGATAAGCTCGGTATCTCGCTTCACCGCATCCCTACCAATATTTAACGATAAAACGCATCCAGCAGGCGTGATGAAACACGTTTGATTTCGATTACGTAAGCCAGATTTTATTTTGCGCATTCCTCCTCCTCGATCTCATCTCTATTTCAAATTGACGCGCAAAACAGGAGGACCGGATGGTTTTTCGGCGGTTGCACTGGGAAAAATTTCCATCGGACAAACCGATCAAATAGTGTTTCCGACGGTTAACTTTTCCGATAGAATTGTGTTGAGGAAAGTCCCCTATTATGAGATAGGTTTCTAAATATGAGATAGCAGGTTTTCAACACCCAAATTCAACCGCAATTTTTTTTCTCGCAACGCTCACACGATCCAACAATGAATTTTACACTAAACAGATTCCGCTCCAGGAGCAATAAATTCATGGTGGAATCAACAGACGATGCCTGCTAATTTAACAGACACCCCGCTATCTCACATTAGAAGTCTATTTCATTGAGAAACCAATCGTATTTTTCATCGGATATACAATTTAATCGGATATTTTTCTCAGTGTGACGAATAACTCGTTGAAAATTCACAATCTAACGGCGATGTGGTACAATGGCACAAAATCTCGTTGGAAGATTTAAGACGCAGACACGGCGATGTTTATGCGATGTTCCAGGCAGAGGAATGTCCCACGAATCCCGACGACCTTTTGGCTTCGTTCCTGAAGCTGGAGGAGGACCCGCACCTCGACTTCAACCTGAAGGACCTGGAGACGATCGCGTCCTCCTCGTCGGACAGCGGACTCTCCAGCGCGCTGAGCCTCTCCTACGAACAACAGCTGAGTCCATTCCTGTCGAGGCCGGACCACAATGAGGAAGAGGAGCTCGGCAATTCCGACTTGAACAGTCCGCAGAACTTCATGGACCTCGACCCCACGCCTCCCAGCCCGTCTCTCGGCAGCGTGGACAGCCCGGTCAGGTCTGTCGTGAGCTCGAACATCGGCTCGCCGACCACCGACGTGGCCGAAGAGATGGACTGCGAGCAATCCTTGGTCGCTATTGTTACGCCGAACAATAGCTTGAGCACTGCTATCGCCACGGAACAACCGACGGTCGATACCGGTACGATCTTATCATATTCAAGGACCTGTGTAAATGTATCTAGGATCTTAATGGTACACTAAAAATGCAAGGTTCGGAAACGTGCCATTATCCTGGCACATGATGCGCTCTCAGCTTCGGTAACACGTTCTCGTTTCACAATTGCACACTTAAGACACATACGAGTACTTGCCGTTGGTTTAGAACTTCCTGAAAATTTACAGAGCTTTTACCGTCTCGGTTTCTGCCCCGCGCGTTGTTCTGTCCTCGCGGAATCAGATTTACGTCGACGTGGTCCCCTTTTTGCGAAATAAACATTGCAAGTTCAACAGCAAAGCTCGCTTATATTTTATTTTAACGTGCATTCTTTATTTATCTATTTTTGTTATTTCTTGGTATTTTATCTGATCCTGTCATGAAGCAGAAGTGGATACCTTTCAATTCTATATCTTCCACTAAGTTTTCTGATAATCCGCCATTTCTTAGAAATAGTTCAACGTTTTATATTATTCATTCTGTGTTGCTATCAATGTTATCAATTTTAAAAACGGATTATTTTCCTTCTCTAACGCCGCTGCATGGAAATATTCGATTTGTGAAAAGATACGACAGAGAGTCTCATATTATACAGATTCAGCGCCTAAGCAGCAAGTGCAACTTACGTCGCAAGAGAATGCCATAAACATTCGAAATCTGACGTGTAATAACGGAAAGCGAAATATTCGACAATTGATACGCGTGACTCCGATGGGTTCCGGTAATCCGCGGTCCATCCTACTGCCAGTGAGCCTGAAAGACATGAAGGAAGTCCGAACTATTAAGATCATGACAACGCAAGCGAAAAACTTGAAAGGCTTCAAGATCAATCAAGCGAACATAATTAATAAACCTATTCAGGTACGCCAGAGTTGTATTTAATGACAGATTTACAGGGAAATAATTATCTATCGTAACTCTTAAGGTTTTTTACATACATTTTTACAATTATACCTCAAAGTTTACCCAACGTTAAATGAAAGATGCAATATTGTGCCACTTGTGTTTGGCTCGTCGAAATCTAATAAGTAAAAAAATTCAATTTTCAATTTTGCGTAACTCAAAACCAATTGATATTAATGGAGGAAAGTTCCCTATTATGAGATAGGATCCTAATATGGGATAGCAGGGTTTCTGTTAAATTAATAGGTATCATTAGTTGATTCCACTATAAATTCATTGCCCTCGAAGCGAAATCTGTTTAGTGGAAAATTTATTGTTAGATCGTGTAATCGTTGCGAAAGAAAGATTTGTGATTGAATTTGGTTGAAACCTGTTATCACATATTAGAAATACATCTCATAATGGAGGACTTTCCTCTTTGTAAGTAGAAGAAATACAATTTTGTTAAAGAATTTGTTGTTGAAAGAGTGATGTTAAGATCATCTTTATGTTGATTAAAACACCAACCATACTACATCGATGTTATATTGTTGAAAAAAAAAACATGACTTTTTACATGTTGTAATTAGATGACTATCAAACAAGAGGATTCCAACAGTGACAAAGGTTGCAATTCCAGTGATGAAGTGACGTCGGAAACGGACTCGGCTTATCCGCGACTGAAGTTGAATGCCGAGGAAAAGCGATTGTTACAAAAAGAGGGCATCACATTGCCCAGCCATTATCCGTTGACGAAGCACGAAGAGCGCGAGTTGAAGAGAATCAGACGCAAGATTCGTAATAAGATATCCGCGCAGGATTCCCGTAAGAGGAAAAAGGAATACGTGGACGGCTTGGAGGATCGCGTGAAGCAGTGCACAGAGGAGAATATAACGTTGATGAAGAGAATCAAGGCCTTGCAGTCGCAGAATCAGAGTCTGGCTGGTCAGTTAAAAAGACTGCAAGCGCTCATACAAAAGGGCAACAAGAGCGCCCAGCCGGCAACTTGTCTGATGGTCTTGCTACTTTCGTTAGCTCTCGTCGCCTTACCGAATTTGCGACCACATTCCAACAATAATAATAATGATCTAACACAAGAGCAGGAGCAACCAGAAAAATCATCGCTCGCAGGTACGTTCTGTCGTTTTGTTAGAAGAATCTTATGTGCATATCTGTATTTTTACATTTTTACATGTTATACTCGTTATAAAAATGTTGCATACAGTATCAAATCTACCTGAGATATGAAATTGTAAAGAGCATTGAATTATTCTTTAATTTTGCTCTCTAATGCTTGTCTATATTGTTGTGTATTCTATTTTCAAATCAAAGTCAACAAATTGTAAAATAACTTCCAATAAAAGTGAACGGAATAAGTATTATGTAATATAGGAAAGGAGAGAGGGGAGTAATCGTGAATATAATCTTAACAAGATGTGCAGACACATCATAATATTTAAGTATGAGATTCAATACAATGCTAAGAATATCTTTTGATAATATTCGAAACATTTTGTGCTTAGCCTTGATACTCACATTATTTACACAGACTGTAAAACAGGCCAAGAGTCAACAATGATATTAGCCGCAGGCATTGATAGATAAGAATATCTGTAAGCGTTTACATAACACGTGGTAGAAAATGAAATTGTAACCCAAAATTGTTGTTGCATTGTACTCGTAAATTTAAAGATACTTAATACAAGTAAAATTTTCGTTGTTGCTGTATAATTAGTGTATATGTGAAGACATATACCATAAAAATCAATATTAGATGTAGACTGGTACTACAACATTACTATTCATCATTGTTTGAAATATTTTCACATGCACAGGTTTCGTTTTCTCACAGTAGAGCTTATTTCGTAGCATTAAACTACATACGCAGCAAATTCCCTTTGACAAATAAATGTTCTCGAATTTCGCCGTAGTTGCACTTTGTAAAGTAACTGACGCGCGTATTTAGTCTGAATTCGGCGGGAAACCGTTCGACCATGGGTTCATTGCCTTGAAAGCGATACTTCGTTTCTTATAATCGAGAAATTAACTTGTTTCCGAATTTAAATATGCATGTGTAGAAATTGGAACAGAATATGAATATAGCATATAAATCCAAAAGAGAAAATCAAAGAAGAGGCGAGAATTTAGATAAAACAATAGTTTGTTTAAAATTTTTTTAAAGTAACCCTTTAAACCTAAAAACCTTGATACGTGCGAGAACAGTGAAAACTGTAACATGTTTGTAGGGTCATTAAAAAGTAGCCTTACTACTTTCTAAAAGGGGGCAGGAAAGTACTGATCCTTTCACTGAATCGTGTATTATTCAGACAATTCTTTTTTCGTATATCTTATGCAGATAACTTTATTAAAATAAATATCTTTCTAAGCAAAGGACAGTTTTGTTTTAATTTTATAAAAAATATTTCAAGTAACATTTTATCATATTTAGCGATAAAATGATATAAGAAAGTTCTTACATTCTACATTGTCTATAACATCAATGTAACATTAATGCTATATTCTTTAACCAAAATAAAAAATAAAAAGCATTTTTTAAACGTTATTTGATTTTGCCGTAATTTGATTTCTACGAATAATACTAGTGATTTACACGAGTGTTACTCTTCGTTTTTGTAACAGCAATGGTTTCCACTGTATGCAAAATTTTATAACATAAAAATATATTTAATCTTCCTGAACACGTAATAAATTTTGACCTCAAAATACAAAAGTAATTGTCCATGTGCTCTTGCACGGCAGACTGTAGAATGGTCTCGAAACAATGAGTGCATCTGTATACACAATTCTCGATGGAATTAGCGTAAGGTGTATCGTAGCCGTATTCACGGAACCATTGTTTTAATTTTAGGTCGCTCGAGGACTTTATTGTACACGAAGCAGCTAATGGATGAAGAGCTACAGCAATACGGCGAGGAGTTGTTGCAGGAGGTCGAGGGCCTTCTGGATCACGATTACAGCCCGGTTATACAGATGCCTCTCTACAAACGTCCCCGCATCGACAGCGAAGCTACTCCCAAGTACGTCTCTTCCATGAATCACGTGGGAGGAACGCTTGGTTTAAAACCAGATATCGCCATCTCGAAGACGACGAAACAGTATATGGAACCACCGCTGGACGATATCTGGCCACCGCCGAATCCGGGCGGGCAGAAGACGGTCAAAGTAGATAAGCTCGAAGCTCTTACTAACGAGCTCAAGATTAACATCTCCGATACCGAAGGCACTAGAACGGTTCTTGTCAAGATGCCCCATGATAAGTAAGACGGAATGTGGTTACTTTTTTTCTTGCAACGATACAGTAGTATATCTTTTTAAGTTTAGGAATTTGCAGTGATTTGAAATATACTTCACCATTAGAGTGGCAATGAGGTGACAAGTTTTTTCCGGAATATTAAAGTGTTATCGATGAACAATTTCATTAGAAATCTTTTATATATCCGTAAAAATAATTATGTTTGAAAATTATGCATCGATTGTGCGATCATAGAGTATTTTGGCGAATAAATAGTGTCTACCTATAGATGTAGTAATCATTTTTCAAAAGCCAATATTATTCGATTATATTTTCTAAATGAAGTCAATATAATTTTCAGCAGACATTGAATTATCGATCTATTAACACAACAATTTAACAATGTTAAACGGTAAACCTGAGAAGATGGCTGCAGTTAAACATTTTTCTAAGAATACTTCGTTGTTAGCTAAATGTGGTTCACACATGAGCAAAAAATGAAGGAGAAAGAAGAGAAGCTTTATGCGTGAAAGAAGGAAACTTTACGTGTAAAATTTTCTAAGAACTTTTATGAATTAGACGATATTAAACATTTACTTATTTATATGAAAAGCAGTATAAATACTATTATTTTTACAATATTATGATTATCGATGTTTTAAAATAGTTATATACATAAGAAACTTTTTGTAAATAATTAAAGCGTGTATACACATAAAATTTATATACGTACCACTATTGCTTTAACGTTAAACGACATCTGGAATAAATGCCTATGTTTCTAATTAACAGAGATGTAAAACAGATATCAATAATTTATGATTATTACAATTAGATGTATATAAATATATATGCACATGTACGAATAACGCTTGTCACAAAAAAAATCCAATAATATGATATATTAATCATATGGCATGATGTAGGAATTCATATAATCGTTAACAGTTTTAGTATCTCGATCTTTGAATTTACTCAATCCGTAAAGTTTTATGTATGCCTGATTTAACATTGATTTAATTGAGACTTTTATATCTCTTGAAATATTCATATAATTCTTTTTATTTTATATAAATAATGCCAGTATTTTTTTAATAACTGAAAAACAGATAATTGGTGATCAAATTATTGGAAAATTGCATGCGTGTGTATTTGCGCGTGTGAATGTGTATGCAATGTGTACGTGTGTGCGTGTGTATATGTCATGCTTCTACATGTGATATTCAGTCTTGAGAAAAATTAATGCTTTAGAATAATTTATCACAAGTCACACGAATTCATATATGCGATAATTGTGTAAGCTACTGGTACAACTAAAAAATTATGGGAAATGACAAGAAGTGGATTATCTAATACCATGATTTTGCAAATAGCCGCAGTTTTCGCCGAAAAGACTGTATTATAAGTAAAGTACATATTAAAGTAAATATCGAAGGAAAGTATATGTTGATATTCTGTTTCGATATATCTTTGCCTCGTGCACAAAATGTGCCGAACAAGAATTCTTTTTTTTCCATTAGAATAAGTCTAGAGTTAAGTTAAAAATTACTACGTATAAACAACTACTTTTCATATACATATATGCTTGGTAGTATATGAAATCACATATATATGTATACTATGTGCACGAAAATGTAAATAAAATATATTATTGATGCAGGACAAGCCATTTTGTAACTTGTACTTATACACTTGCTCAGAAATATCGGCAAGAAGTTAACTGAATTCTTCACGTTCGTGCAAGAGTATAAATCTTGATAATTCTGTTTATTTCTGAGTACAGTACGGCTATATTTTTATATACTTATAGAAGGATAGGGTGGTTTATGTGAGCGTAATAAAATCACAATATTATAAACTTTATTCTATGTGTATCGATATTAATGAATAAAATGTTTATGTGTGAAAAGTTATATATTCTTAGGATCATTGTATATTTTTATGTACAGGTATTATATAATGTCTTAAGTAGAAGTTCATTATCTAATGTAAGTTATTTTATAACGTTTGCATATTAAATTTGATTAATATTATAATTTTTATTTGATTTTATCTTTATGTTTTTATTTTATTACTATTATTTATTATTGTATATAATAATAAAATAATATATAATATAAAAGATACATATTAAATTTTAAAGTTAGGTGTTTAAAATTATATTATCCAATATATTATGAAATCTGTAATGTATTCGGTTCAAAACATATGTTTATGATAAATCTTGAGATCAGTTCCGTAACAAGAAACATTTATAATTCAATGGCTATAATATGATACGATTAATGTAGATATATGTATATATGATCCATGAGTAATATTTATGATTCAGTAAGTAGCACGAAAGAAAGAATTGTACACAATCCCACCTGTAAAATTACAGATTGGCTCAATTTTAAGAGCGAAAATAAAGATTAAATAACAAGAAACTACGGGATTAGTCAAAGAGAAATTCGTGCATTTGATTGGCGTGTACTCTTAAATTCACTCAAGCTTAAGAGAATACGCCAATCAGATTCAAGAATTTTGCAACAGTTGCAAAGCAGCTTTT